ATACGCCCATGCGTGGTGCGTCAGGGATGTGAACGTCTGGTGATGGCAATGACATTTTATTGGGTCAATAATGTAATGCACTAACTTGTAGTACATTTGCAGACAATTGCACGATGCCATACATATACACATACATACTTGCACATACACACACACGCATATTTGTATTTTGCCGCCTAGTTGTAAGATGTTGCTATTACAACCGGTGAGGTGGCAAGTGCAATAGGGCGGAGTTGTGCTCGTGAATGGCGCGTGCTGCCGGTGTGGCGTATTCAATATTTATCTGCAGACTAAGATTCAATTATGCTTGTTTATGTTTGCATATTACATTCACCAAATACATAAGCATTTATTTAAGTATAAACAGATACACACACACACACATACACACATGTGTGCAGCTGTATGCATATTGAGTAGAGTCCGCTTTGGCACATTTCAACCATTTGCTTCGTAATTGTTTCCCAGTGGGTTGAAAATATTAAACAGTGCTTCAGCACAATATTTAAGAGCGCTTTGCATAATGACTAAAAAAAAAGTACTTTCCACTTTTACTTTATATATTTGTATCCTTAAATATATTTTTGACGTTTTTACGTTTTTAAAAATTTTTTTTAATAAAAATCACTTTTTGTTCACCTAATGGTATAACCAAAACATAACTGTTTCTAGGAAATTGCATGTCGCTTATTTCTTTCATCAACATATACATAAGAATATATACATACATATCCCTGTATATGTGTAAGCCTTTAATCATTCACTTAAATCACGTAATGCACTTATTTGCTCACAAATCACGGTAAGGCTTTACGTGATTCGTTCTTAGTCGAGCCTTTCAGTGGAAATGTTTGCCTATTCTACAAACAGCAATGCACATACCGACTTCTATACACGAATGTTCACATACATGTATGTACATATGTGATTGCATTTAAAGTAATCGCGACATAGACTCGTGCATGCCCGAACTTAGCTACTCTACATGTTGGTTTTAAAACCTGCGCCGCTCTATTCTTCTTAGAAGTAATGAAAACTCAATTTAATTGATTTAGTTGAAAAAACTCAAATGAGAGTAATTAGTAATGGGTCACTTTGTGATGAAAAATGATGATGGTTTTCTTTTAACCAGAAAGTATATATAAGTAAAATATTCATAGTTTTGTCCTCTTAACTGCCAAATGAATTAGAACGAGGCAATTGATGGTAAAATATTACAGAGAAACCAAAGAGCCAATTAATCGTAAGGATAAGCACATTTCTCTATCAAAAATATTTTTCTGATTATCAGTCCCAAAAAATATGTGGAGAAATCAACGAAAATACATGCAACATTTCAAGGGACAATTTGACCAGCAAAGACATGTTAGGGAGTTAAGGTATTTAACTGTCATTATGTCACTTCAGACAATGTACATACATCCTTGATTCGTCATCGACTTCAGAGGGTTGTACAAAAATCTGGCGTGGTGGAGAGCAATGGAAATTAATACACCCTTATTTATACTCTTGCAACATGTTGCTACAGAGTGTAATAGTTTTGTTCCCCTAACGGTTTTTTGTATAAGCTAAAAGTAATCGTGTTAGATATGTAGTTATATATGTATATATAAATGATCAGTAGGACGAGACGAGTTGAATTCCGAACTACATTAGGCACGGGCATAGATGGTTGAACAATTTTTTAAAAGTGGGCGTGGCCCCATCAATAATAAGTTTAATGCACATATGACCTAAAAGATTTAAGTTATAACAACCATCTCTTTTTGGCATCGCTACCCCGTGAAAATGGGTGAATTGGGATTATAACTCTGCACAAACTCCGATGGTCATGATACCGCCTACATTTAGGTGAATACCCACATCTCGGAACCTCTTTTACCGAATTCAACCAAATTCGGTAACTTTATTTAGACATTCCTGTGTTACTGTGCGAAAATGGACCACAACTAGCCTACTTCCCATATACTAAAATCTTAAATTCCCTCTGATTCTTTCACTTTCCAGTATACACATGAGGAACAAATCAATGTATCCGGTACGCACACTTCCTTTGAGTTGTGCCACCTTATAATCAAAAATTGGTCAAATCGGATTATAACTATTCAAGCTCCCAGATAACGAATATGTGAAGTCTAGTTCTTATTACAAACTTTTGACTGAAAATATCACTCAATCTGTGCGATATATTATATATATTTTTTTGTGATAATCGTATGCCGGTATGTAAAAAATCCGTTGAGTCGGATCAATAGTTCTGTGAAATTAGTCCACGAATTACATATAATGATTTTCGTTATTCTAACAAACTTTATGCCGGATATGTCGGTATTTGAGTTACATACAAGTATATATAAAGTTGCCTGAAAATCAAGTATACCTGAGTACTAGTATTATTATTATTAGTTAACGTTTTTCAGATCATCTCAATATATAAAATTTAGCCTCTTCGATTGAGTTTATGTCAGATATGTTTTATTTGAGGCTGGTTTTTGTATAATTTTTGCTGACGGTAAGTAAAATATAGTAATAAAACTATGTGAGTCTTTGACACATCTTAAAAACATTAAGGTATTTACTCGGCATTGATCTTGGCAAGTTGCAAGAGTATAAAATGTTTGATTACACCCGAACTTAGCTCTTCCTTAGTTGTTTCGTTACCAATTCTTTCGTTTGAATATGGTTCGGTTGTACTTCTGGAGTATCACACTTAATTTGTTGCATTATATTAAAGCACACATTTTTGATATTCTACAATTTTTAGAAAATACCCTTAAAGAAAAAAAAATGTATTTAAGCCATCTTGGATTCACCACTTTTCATCAGCTTAGTTGGAGCTTAGCTTTCCATTAAAACATTTACATGGAAAGCAAAACAGTTGAACTAAATACAAGAAAGTACCCACCTCCGTGGTAGTAATTGAAATTACCGGTTCCTATTCTCTTTGTGTATAGTTATGATATTTCATTTGATGGATGCCAATTTCCTGTTCGATTCGCCATTCTTCAAGTTTTTCGAAATCGAAGGCGTAAATGATTTAGTATTTAAGAGCAGACATTAGCTTCTTTAAAGGCATTTTGTGATTTGTTTCATTTTAATAATTAAAGTAAGATTTTTTTAACAAGTACAGATTATATAAATTGCGTTTCAACGAGCACTTCCTTACTCCTTTGCTATGTATTAAGCAAATTTATCGCCACAACTTGAGTTAAATGGATGTAGTCGAAAGGAAAAAGCAGTTAATTTTTTGTTTGCTTGACGGATATCATGTGTAATCGTCGCTCAGGGGCTAACAAAGAATCGTTTTGCATATTTTTTCTTTAGTCCACACTCTACTTTGTAGAGGTACTAAAATTAAGAACAAAAGCGAGAGAGAAGTATAACAAAAATTTAGATGCCACAACACTTTCACGTGCATCACAGCAGTAAAGAAAAGAGTGGCAAGTATGAACCCGCCCGAAAAAATCACTTTTTTGTGTTGCACACTTGAACTTTTTGTGGCATCTCGTTGCAAAAGTTGGCAAGTGGCAAATTGTGTATCACCATCACGTGGCACACGCAGGTTTGCAAAACTAAACTCGTGCTCCCTTTTTTGTTGCGGTCGCTTTCTGCCACTAATGGCCAAATGCAAGTGTGTTGTGTGCACAGGACAGACATGCACACTAACTGTACATTGGCACCTTCAGTTATTCGTTACAAGGCTTTGTTGCTTTGCCTATAACCTGAATTGCGATTGCACTTGCGCTCATTGCCTTTGTTTCTGCCATTTTAAACTTTTACGGAAGTTGACTCTGTTGCGGCAGAAAGTATGAGTAAAAGTAAGAAAAAGAAAAAGCAAAATATAAATAGGCAAAGGCAAAAAATGACAAAGAGAAGTAATGCTGAGGAAGCGCATTAAATGTGACGGCTGATGCATGAAATTTAGTGACACGAACCGAAATGCAGCAGCCGGCCTTTGGTTGCATGTGGCACGGGTTGCTGGGCGGCCGAATGGGATCGACCTGTTGTTGGAACTGTTAACGAAGCAAGGCTAGATATTGGTGGGGGAGCACGCCAGCTCAATATGAATGTTGCATACTAAAATGAGGACGATAAAATAATTATCGGCCAAGCGGGACTTTGGTTGGTGGAAAGTTGTGGATGTAGTAGAGCGGCGTTGGGTATGCATTTGTTTAATGTTTAATTTGCAGATGGAATGGATGGCTACCGAAAATATTTTTTTTTGCTTTACTTTGCCTTCACTTTTTAAATAATGAAGGTTCTTCTTATAATTTTGTATTGTAACTGTTATTGTGTCAAAGTTTAGACAATTTAGATAACAGACACTTTCCTGTGAGCATTTCGATTTAAGGTAATATCAGCATTGCTTTGGGAAAGCACTTTTCAAAAAATTTACTTTCCTGTTTTAAGTTATTTCCTTTCCAGAACAAACTATATACACGCATAAATACCAAAAAATTTTTTTTTGGAAAGTAGCAATTTAGCATAACAAATAACTGGCAGTTTGGCAAATTTTTTTAACCAAATTGTCTTGTGTATAACAAATTCGCTTTTTCGGTTTATGTTGCAATAATGCACTTCCATAATATCTAGTAGATTCATTTGAATAATTTTCGAGTATTCATATTCACTTCTTTTATACCACTGTGCAACAAAAAAATTCCATCAAATTTAAAGAAATATTAAGGAAAGAAATGACTTTCACAGTATGCGAAAAGTGCTTTCATTTTATGGCTGTGCAAGCAACGTTTGGAAGTAGAAATTCACTTTTGCAAGTGAATTTACATAATTCGGTGGCTTTATAATATCACTCTGCGAATATGGTAAAGAAGTTATTGATTACACGAATTTTCTTTTTTTAGTCCACTTTCGATGCCTCAACCAATTAATTGAGGAATAATTGTGTCCTTTTATTTTACCTTTCTTTATTCAAAATATTTTTCCAAGTACTAATAAACTTGCCTCTTGAACTCACTTGTCATTTATTTTCTCATTCTCAGGAAAATGGAAGATCAGTTCCTGATGTTACCGCCAGCCCTGGCCGTGCGCCTCCTGGTCCCTTGCCGGCGAACCAAATGCAATCGTTGGCCAATCAGCAGCAGCAACAACAATCGCAACATCATCAGCAACAACAACAACAACATCAGCAGCAGCAACAACGAGCTGGTGGTAAGGAACCAGTCTTGCTGCAAGGTGACTTTCGCAAGGTGTCGGGTATCAGTTCGGAGATCTTTCGGCAGATAGAAGCAGTCGAAAATGATCATGATCCGAATACGGCAGCCGCTTTGGAGGTGAGTATTTTGCGATTTTCTTGGTGCTTTCCAATATTATTTGATGGTACGACAGGCGGTGGAAAGAAGAGGTGAAATGATCGTGCGCATTCTCGAGCCGCGTTGCATCGGTGGAAAACATGCCGTGGAGGCAGCTCATAAATTGATGTCCAAAGGAGATGCTCGACATACAGTACAGGTAGATGCTTAATAATTTAGAGTTTAAATGATTCGACTTTTCTTATTCAATTTGCACTTATTTCCAGCTTGTTGAAATAGTGAAGCGCCCAGGCCAGACATTAGGCTTATACATACGTGAGGGTAATGGAGCTGACCGCACCGATGGAGTTTTCATCTCTAGAATAGCATTGGAATCTGCAGTTTATAATAGCGGTTGTTTGAGGGTTCGTTAATTTTGCATTTTAAATAATAATAAAAAATAATTACTGAACTCTCTTTTGGAGGTGGGTGATGAAATTCTGGCCGTTAATTTGGTTGACGTAACGCACATGTCCTTGGATGATGTCGTAATTATTATGTCAATTCCCCGGAGATTGGTCTTGGCAATACGCCAAAGACGTGACAGTCGCACCACCGGCTCTCCAGGACCACCAACGTTATCACGGCCCGAACAAAAGCCACCGCCAGTTGTCGTTATCAAACGTGATCTCAGAGATGAAGACTTAGATGAGACAGATCGCATGCCAAGATCCCGATCATCACGCGAAAGACGTACAGGTATTTTGATATCATCCCCAGTAATACTTTATTAACATATGTTTCTCTGTTTTCTTGTGTTGCAGGAGATGGACGTGAAATGACTGAGTCTCGCTCTCGCCTCGGTTTGGGTCTCAACAACTATAGCCCGCAATCCGAGCAATTAGACATGTATTACAATACGCGCACTGGTGTGAGTGCGATGAACGAGCCACCCAGTTGGGGCTACAAACCACCGCCACCACCTTCGGTGATAACGGAACAGCCTAAAGGTCATGCTTTTGCTCCTTCGCATGCGTACTATCAAAATGCTGGCACACTGGAGAGTTTAGCTGAGAAAGTGCATGCGTTCTATCCCAGTGGACCTTCCCGTCGTATGTCAACCGGTACTGGTGTTGGTTTAGCGCAACAGCATGCACGCTTTCCGCGATCTGGATCAGATCAACATTTACCACGTGTGGAATATGCAGATTATTCAAATTCTTTGGGTCGTCATTCTTTATTACGGTCCAGTTTGAAACCAGGTACGGGAGCTGCACCCATAGCAGTAGGTGGCACTCTGGGACGTTACGGCCGTTACGAACCGCCGCGTCAATCCTCCAAGTATGCACCGCCTAATATAGGAGCTCAGTCACTTACACGGCGCTCGCGGCCAAATCTTGATTATTCCAGCGACACAGAGGCAACTATAGGGCCACGGCCAAGTTATTATTACTACAATCGACCTGCTGTGGGTAGCATGCCACGCGGCACCAGTGGAGCAGGTGTCGGTGGAGCTGGCATGCTTGGAGGTGGGCCAGATATGGCTAAATTTAATTCACTGCCACGCGAACGTCCGGGTGTGCGTCTACAAGGTATACGCTCACGCATCGGCGATCGTATAATGGATGAAAGTGACGGTAACATATCGGCACCGGAATTCAATGCACGTCGAGATCGCGATCTTAGATCGCGTATAACGGCGAGTCCTTCTATTTTCACTTCGGACGAGTATCGAGCGTGGTTGAGGCGCGCACCTAGCAGTTCAGCTATAGCGGAGCAAATGCGTATGACGAGGGATCTGCTTAGTCAACCACGATCGCATCGGTTTTCGTGCAGCGCTGAAAATATACACGATGCGTTGAAAAATGTAAGTGGTAATTGTTTGGTTCAGAAAGCTTCTTATATTTAAAGGATTTTTGTATTTCAAAATTTCAACAGACGGAAAGCATTTACTCCAGTCGAACGGGCATACTCGGAACTGGTACACTAGATCGCCATCTAGGCATGCCGCGTCCAATTTCAGCATTGCCAGTCCGCTCGATGTCATCACAACACATTGGAGGACCATCGTCAATACGCTCGCCAAGCATACGTCGTATGCGACAACTACTCGAGCTGTCCGCTGGTCCGGCTAGCCCAAGTGGCAGTATTATGAGTACCGGCGGTCATCAAAGTCCGGCGCCGACACCCAGCGCCACACTACCCAGAACGCACAGACAAATAGATATTAATCCAGCGGAGTTTGCCAAGTACAAACTCGACAAACCGATAGTCGATATTGGCGGTATATCGGGCATGTTGTGGATTCATTTGCTCGCGGGCCGTGGCTTACGTTCGGCACCTGAACTAGGCACACAGCACGTTGGTGGGCCACATCATGCTGCCCAAACACAAACACGTGATCTATATTGTGTAATTGAATGTGATCGTGTGCATAAGGCACGCACAGTAGTGCGATCCGGTGATCTACAATTCGACTGGGACGAGTCTTTCGAGTTAGACTTGGTGGGCAATAAGCAGCTAGATGTATTAGTTTACTCTTGGGATCCGCAACATCGTCACAAGTTGTGCTATCGTGGTGCCATTTCCTTGTCCATTCTGCGACAATCACCGCTACACCAGTTAGCGTTAAAGGTGGAACCACGTGGCACTATTTACATACGTATGCGGCATACAGATCCCATAACGTTATATCGACGGCGCGGCTTACCTAGCTTAAGAGCCGGCTATCCCATATTATTCGGCGCCGATTTGGAAACGGTGGTGAATCGTGAGTCTAAAGGCGCTCCCGGTAGTGCTCCTGTGCCAATTGTGCTACGGCGTTGCGTAGAGGAAGTGGAGCGACGTGGCTTGGATATTATTGGTCTATATCGCCTGTGTGGCTCAGCAACGAAAAAGCGTCTGCTGCGAGAAGCATTCGAGCGCAATAGTCGAGCCGTGGAATTGAGCCCTGAACATGTTCCTGATATTAATGTTATAACTGGGGTACTGAAGGACTACCTAAGAGAGTTGCCGGAGCCACTGTTTACGCGTTGTCTTTTCCAGATGACTGTCGATGCTTTGGGTTTGTTAAGACATACAGTATGGTATCGTTTGGCATTAATGAAATTTTTTATTTACAGCTGTTTGCCTGCCCGACGATCCCGAGGGCAATGCGAAACTAATGTTAAGCATACTTGATTGCTTGCCACGTGCAAATAGGGTAAGAAAGACAATATCTTATCGCACACTACTGTAGATTAATACAAGTTAATTTTATACGCAGGCGACTTTAGTATTCCTGCTCGATCACTTGTCGCTCGTCGTCTCCAATTCGGAACGCAATAAGATGTCAGCTCAAGCTTTGGCCACCGTTATGGGACCACCATTGATGCTTCACGCCGCTAACGCTCAACCCGGTTCGGATATCGATCACGCCCAACCAATTGCCGTGCTGAAATATCTGCTGCAGATTTGGCCGCAGCCGCAGGCACAGCACCATCAAGCGCCTGGTGGCGGTCTCGTTAGCGCGACCGGCATGATGGGTAGCATGGTTGGTGCGGGCGGTGCTTTGGCGGGCGCGGGCAGCATGAGCAACATGGCTGGCGGTGTTTCAGGTAACGTAATTATATTATGTCAATAAGGTTACCACTCCTATCATGCTGTTTAGTTTTGACTCATCAGCGCTTTACTCTGATAGCAAGTAAATAGAGGCACACATTTTAATGCGAGCTCACTTTCGTAACTCCATTACAGTTGGCCACCCAGCCAGCGGTATCTTTTCTCATAATTAATATGCAGCAATTTCTTATTAACTCAAATCTCACTTAATTGCGCAAGCAACAGCAAATGCCATCTCATTTATTTGTTTCGAAAACTTAATGTACTTTGTTAGTTTGGGAGTTATTACCGTTAATTTACATACATATTTCTTTGCTTTACTCATCATCAATTTAATATTTTTATGTATGTATGTAGCGATCACTTGCTGTTTAACACGCCTTAATAGCGAGCAATTATCCTAATTCTCATTTCTTAATTCCTAAAAATGCTGTCAGAAAAACAGCATATTGTTGTTGTTTAAAAAAAATAATTCCAAAAAAATAAAAAAAGAGACAATAAAAAGCAAAAATGGGAATAGACTGTAACGGGAGATTCGTACATAAGCAGTGTCGAATGTCCTTTAATAAGTTAAACGTTAAGTTCAAATTAATATTGATTAATACAGAGTCCTATGTAGACAGGTCGGCGCGGCGAGTCAACAGGGCAGCGTGGAAGCAAAGTCAGTGCGTTGCAAGCGGACAGACAACTTCTACTGCAGCAGCAGGCGCAGCTCATGGCGGCGGGCAATCTTCTACGCTCGTCCACTTCGGTAACCAACATACTCTCACAAGGCCATCATCCGCTCTCAGCCACAGTCAACAGTCATCTGTATCAATCAGTAGTGGGTCAGTTAGCTCAATCGCCTCGAGCCTTGCAACAAGCGGTGCAACAGGTAAAAATGCCACAACAACAGACAACAGCAAAGAACAGACAACAATAACAGCAAAACAACAACTATAGCAATAACAACATCAACAAACAAACAGACAATTAAAAATAACAACAAATACTCGTACAATAATCAAAAAGCGTACTAGAACCACCAACAAACAAGTAACCCAATTAAGCAACATTTTGTTCAACTAAATAACAGTAATTTTTAAAGCAACAGTATGAGTACTCACTCACAAAGTTTGTTTTGTGGAACTATGGAGGCCTGATCTTCACTCTTACGCTGTTACTTAGTGTGCATCATATCATAGAAATATGAAGATTTTTAGTGTTCTTACCGATTTAGGGACTCTTTAAGTTTTTTTCTCTTATGGAATACTAAGATTTATTAGAATATTTTTTAATAATTTTTCAAAATCTTTTATTTATTTATCAATTTTTTTTTACGTTTTTTTATGTATAATAATTCAATCAGAGGTACATGTCTCCTTCATGGCTCTGTATTCTAGTATTATTTTATTGCATGGTTGTCGATTTTTAACTTCCATATTCCAGGAAGTCTCGGAAAAGCTTAAAAGCGCTGCGAATTGTACCATAGCGGCTTGTACGCTGCCCAGGCCCAAAAGAGAATGATGTAATGCTTCCTGAGCTTGTTCTAGCGTTACCCATTTAATATTGCCTTTTCAAGACAATTTCTAAGAGCATATTTTAGTACATATATGTCTCTAAAACTGCATACAATCTTAAGACATGTTACTTGTTTCGATTTTTCCACAAAAACTAAACCTTTGTATCGTTATACAATTTTAGGTTGCTAAAGAACGGCTTTAATTATTTTGTTAATGATTTCACATGATAAATGGTGTGACTGAGCTCGAGACAATCTTTAATGTAATTTGAGTGATGTGAGCTTAAACTGCCCCTGTGGAGCTTTGGAAACGGCTTTGAAAATATATATTTTTGGTTCAAGATTGTCATTAAAAATAGGGGAACAACTGAAATTTCGATGCTCAATGAAACTTTCGTCAGAGTAGCTTAACTCATAATGGCTCGAAAATAATTCGTATTGAAAATATTTTCTCAAACAATGCAATTGGCCGTTGAATATTTGTTAAGAATAGTGATATGTACTAATCTCGTAATTCATAACATATAGCGAAATAATGCTTCCAATGGAGAGCTTTTATTCCAAAAAAAAGCTACAAGGGAAAGCTTTGGATTTACGAAAAAATAAATTGAATTGTTACCTTACTGAAATCTTAGAACTCTAAAAATTAAGGAAGTTTGCGATAAAATATTTTAGTTTGAGATTAGATATTTCAACTAATAGGTGTTTTAAAATCGTATCGTTAAAAAGGTATTGTTAAAATCAGTTGTATATCAAGAGTTGCCGTATTTATAGAAATCAAAATGAAAATAATTAAATCTAAATTATGACAATATTTTTAAACTTTTTTACTTCGTTGTATTTTTGAAAATAGTTAACTTCCCTAATTAGTTAGTAATTTTTTACCGTGATATGTTTTTGGAAATAGTTACCTTGTTGAAATTTGTGTTAAATCTATTATACCTATAAGCAATCAAATTGTTGGAAATATTGTTCTCATTAGATTTTATTTAGATAATTTTTTATAATATCTTGCAGAGGGTATATTAAGTTTGCCACAAAGTTTGTAACATCTAGAAAGAAACGTTGGCGGCCCTATAAAATATATAAAGGGTGACCCAAAATTAACTCAAGATTTAAATTTGCCGCCATTTATGTAGTAAAGTGTTGACAACAAAAAAACAAAAAAAAAAAAAATCGACAGCTAACAGTTTAGCCTTAGTAAAAATGAAGTGTTACATGATAGAAAAACGTGTCTTCATTATTGAACATGATTTCCAAAAAATGAAAGCTCGCAGTTCGAAATTTTCATACAAAATATGGTCGGAATAATGTTTTAATTATTTTTTAGTTTTTATTTAATTCTTTTTTAATCTTGCGTTAATTTGGGGACACCATTTACATAAATAATCAGCGTACAAGCAGAGTCGCTGTATTCATGTCCGCCTGTCTGTCTGTATATACGCGAAATAGTCGCTCAGTTTTTGTGATATCAATCTGAAACTTCACATACCTTACACAACTGACTGATGGAAAGTCCTATGGAGTATGGATAATAAGATCTTTTGTGAGATAATTGATAAAAAAATGTTAAAATCTTTAAAAGTTGCATACAAAATTTTAGAAAAAAAAACATGCGCCAATAACTTGCGCTAGGGAAATGAAAAATGTAATATTTTTCCGCTAATTTTTTCATTATGCTCTAACGTGTCACCACTAGGAAATTTTTTTTTTTTTAATACATTTGTATTAACATTCCTCGAAAATACGTACAAAACATATATACACAATAACACGAACATACTCTACTATCTACTAATCCTGTTGACCGTTTGTGAATTTGATTGTTACTAATCTTTACGAATTGTTTTATTGCCCATTCTAATTGTCATTGAATTCAGTTCGATTGCGTTAATTTCTTTTCTCAACTTCCGTGTGGAAATAAATGAATTTCGCTTTGTTTTTATTGCGTAACTATATACTACTACATATATATGTTTAAGTTTACAAAATTTTCCTAATTCAAGTTCAATAATTATCGTAATTAGTACTTATATGTATACATAAATGCAAGCGTACTTATCTACATACTTAACAACAACAAAAGTGCATTTGCAAAACGCGTAGAGTAAAGAGTACTTGGTGTGACGCACACATTGCAATCGATGTATGTATGTAGTAGATGTTTTTAACTTAATATCCGTAAATCAAATATACCTACATACATACGTACTAGTACATGCAATTTATACTGAATATGATACATACATAAATACGTAATACGTGAACCTGGGTGTGCGTGTCTGCCCATGGAGCTGATGTGGTAAATAATGTGCTTTTGAAGTCGGATATGTAGCATGATTGGCCCACTACTGGTAATATGTATACATACATACAAGCATTAATATATGTACATAACTACTTAGTCCTTTAGCATTTTCTCCACATTCATACATACATACACTTAAAATACGCGCATTCTATGCAAACTCATTGTTCATGTGCTCGTCCACTAATACATATGTACATATATACCTATGTATGCACATCAGTGCCTCGTTTTTCGCTCACAATATCGTTTTGCCATTCATACCAGCCCGCATATACATACATACATGTATGTGCTTACATGTGCATATCATTTCCCAAATACGTGTATATATGTAACTCTATTAGAACTGTTACTAGCATAGCTGTATCAACTAAACATACATACAAGTGCGTACACACATTATAAATCTCACCAAAGGAAAGCATGTATATTATGTACTAGAAATGCGCTATACGCTCTCATACATATATTGTAATTATTCACATATATATATACATACAGTTATGAAAAACATTTACATGCAATGTCCCAAAGTTACAACTTTTCACCAGCACCCGCGTGTGTTCTTTCTTGACTCCTACTACCTTGGCAGGGGACAAAAAAACGTTCTACTTCATACAAATGCTTATTGTGTGTTCCTTTCTTGCTACATGAAAACACATGTCCATGCTTGTCTAGCCTTCTTAAATATGTATCTGTTAAACTCATGCGTACTCGGTATGTACATACAACAAATGAAACTTTGCAGACCTACATATTATATTATGTATTATACCACATATGTATGTATATATACAACACACTTTTCTTTTCCTTTTTACTTTTGACTTTAATTATGACTATTATTTTTTGTTAAATAGTAAGTAATAGTGCAGGCAATCCTTTAAAGGCGTACGTTGCGTATACGTAACCACAAATTTTACACAATTTGGGTTATTTAATACAAATCTTGCTTTGCTAAAAGCTTTTTAATTTACGAAAAATATTTCAAAAATGTTCATAGAGATATATATATGTATATATATATTAAAATTAAATTCTTTATTTTTACTTTTTTTTTTAAATTTGTATATACTTGTATATAAGTGTTTAATTAAATTCGGAAATTCTATGAACAAACAATTTTTTTTAAATTATTAATAATAATTTTCAATTTTCAATAAAAATTCTTACTATCGTCTGTAAGGGAGACTTATTTTGATTGGATTTGAGCACGCCGCGGATAACTTTATTTCAGGAAGAGGAAATACTCATAAAACACTTAAGAAAACAAGTTTTGGGAATTTTAGGTCAACACTAACCAAAAAATTTTGACTCCTTTTCTTAAGGAAGTAATCTCACCTAACCAATTTGGTAATAATTTACCAATAATAAATTTTTTTCACAACAAAAATCGAAAAAATATATACCTAAGGATAATTTTTGTCGCATAACATATACATAGAGAGTTGTTGTTTCTCATGTTTGGTCCTATAACCACTTCAGATTGCACTCGCATTCAAAGAAAAGCTAAAAAATGACTCAGTACTTTAATTTTTTGCTCGAAAACGTCATCTCTCTTTCTTTTCTACTAACAAAGTAGCGAAACTAAAACTGCTAAAGATTGTCATGCAGGATTTTACTCATACTATCTTTAGAAATATTAAGTTACTTTCAAACCCTCCAAAAGTAGCCAACGTATAGGAAAAGCGTATGAAAGCTTTCTGAAAGCACGCACAGTAACAAAAAGATCTCACATTGTGGAAATATGCCTGCCTGATCCATATTACATAATTTAGCTTCAATAAAAAATAGTATTTTTATTTCTTACGACTTTTAAAATTTATTTACTTATCCAAATACGTTTAAAATTATAAAAAATTTATTTGATTTTTAGTTTTATAACTTATACAAATTTAATAACTAAACACGTTTGCATTAAATATCCAATCATGCAACTCATACATATTGGCTGAGAGTTAAGAGAAAATGGAGAAAAAATCCCAAAATGTCATCACATCTGATTACCTCCGTACAAATTGGCATCACTCAAAAGCGCATTCTCCAGAGCACAACGCGTTTGCATGGCATTAATTTACCCGGAGCTTTGAAAAATTGGCCATCCTCCACACAACCACAACCGCATCTGATTGTATTCATTGCTGTTATTGCTAAACTTAGTGAACATTTAAATTTGCACCAAATGTTCTCTTCAATGCACTTGTTAACGGACAGTTTATTCCCGCACTGAGCACTATCCACCAACAACAACCATAACCTTGACCTTATTACGTTTCTAGCACTTAATAATTGTGAAACTTGATTGGCAACTTAGTGGAAACCGAAATTTTATTGACATGAAAAAGTAGTTCTTGTTGTGCATTCACCTCCTAACTCATCCAGCACGCTTCATGAACCCAACGAAACTTGTTTAACCTTACATACTTTGCATTTCAATTGAACACACACTTTTGGTACAGCCTGTTTATAGTACGAATTTGTTTTTGTTTTCTTTTTCTTGTGTGTAATTGTAGCCCCATCAATTGGCGGGCTCAGCGGCCTCAGCAATTCTCGACCAATCGCCACTGCCACTTCCAGGCACACCCTCCCCCGGCAGTAGTTCGGCATCGACCGGTTCCGGTTCGGGATCCGGTAAAAGTATGTAGCACTGAAGATACACAAAATCAAGTTACATTATTCAACCTTGTTCACTGAGCAATTTACCTTAGGTACTGATACAATAAAACGTGGTGCGTCGCCCTCCTCTGTCAAGCATGTGAAAATTCAAGAATCCTCCAGTACGTATTCGATTGCGCAAAAGAAACTCACAAAAGACTTGCCAATCGATGATGCTTCATTTCCGTTAACCAGTGCTGAAACAGTAGCACCAGCAGCTCCAACAAGAAGAGGCGTCGAATTTTACGAACCGCACAAACCTCATACGAAGAGTGACGAAATCACTAGTTACTCGAAATATGGCGAGTTGGGCGCAAAAACACGCACATCCTACGGCGACACGAGCACTTATGGTACCGCAGGTAAGACGGCACTTTCGAGTCTCTCCACTGAAGATTACAAAGCGATGCGTAATAAATCGAGCGCCACATCATCATCCTCCTCATCACAAGCGACGGTTTTGAGTGCAGCAGGTTCGACAGCCACCTCAGCCCCGACCACATCATCGGATGACTCGGATGATCTAATATCATATAAATCCTCAGCATCAACGAACGCATTGCTGGCACAATCGCAAGCAATGACCACATCCCAGCTGATGTCCAAGTATCTTAAGCGGGAGCCGCGCGTACAGTTTACGCCAATAAAATCACCTGATTCTCCATCGCCACCGGGTAGCGATGGTTTGCCTAAAGGCGTTTACCACCTAACAACATCGAAGAGTAAAACGGCCGTTTCTACGGGCGCCATTAGTAAACATTCCGCGCCGAGTTCGAGCGATCCCAATGGCAGCAGCAATCATAAGGGCTCATCACCGTCTAGACAAGTTAGCGGCAAGGAAGCATCATCAGCAACGTCACTAGTGTCGACTGGTAGGCGACTATTCGACAGTTTGGCATCATCAGAAGCCGAGGCACGACCTCAAGCGGGGGGCAGCAGCAGCACAACAACAACAGTAGCAACGTCTGCAACATATAACGATAGTAAAAGTGTAGCAAGTAGTCACATTAGCAATAAGCAACAAAGTTCAGAACACAGAAGTTATGGTAGTAGTCTGTTTGGTAGTAGCGCGCAGGGTGGCACAAGTCCATTCGCCACCGTCAATGGCAATGGCAGCTCAGCGTCCAACGGCACTCACAATGCCATGCACTTGTATGGCACATTGCCCAAAAATGGTCCTTCTGCTAATGCAACAGGTAATGGTTCCTCTGGCGGCGCTGGTGGCATGTACGGTTCCACCACATCCGCCTCATACTATTCGACATCGTCATCGTCGGGTGCGCACACAGCCAGTAGTAGTGGTGTGAGCTCAATGACCGGTTCCACCACCAGCTATGATTACTACACGACCAGCTCTGCATCGTATACATCGGCGGCTAGCACGCGCTCTTACGGAAATGGCGGTGGCAATGGGGGCGGTGGTAATTACCACACTTTGGGTACATACAGGGTGCAGTATGCCGCCACTAATCCCTTTTTGGAAGCATTCGATGCGCCCGGTAATGGTGGTAGCGGTGGTAATGGCGGCAACGGTGCAGGCAATGGCAATCGCGGTAGTAGCAATAATGGTGGTAATGGACAGCAGCAGGGTAATGCTAGTAGCGGTAGTAGTAGTCACAATCGAACGTCGCTCTTAGCCGCCTTACATGGTAGCGACTCGAAAAATGGTAGCGATGAGTTTGACGATCTGAAGTGAAAGCTTAAACGAAATAACGAAGTGAGGGGGCACGATTTTCATTCTGCATTGCTTGGTGTGCATAAAAGAGGGTGGATTTGAAGGCTGCATGAGTTTGGAATAAAATTGAAAAATGTTTTTGAATTGTTTTATATTTTAGTTTCGATATTTACTTTAAAAATTATCATAGTTTTGTACTACTGACAATTTAGTTCAAAGCGTAAACGAAAAATAAGACAGTAGAAAAGAAGCTTACACGATAAATTCGATTCGATTTTGATTAATTATTATCTGTTGTTTGACTGACGACGGGAAACTGACTAGTTGACTGTTTGTGTTCTTGGAAACGTCAAATTAGCTGACATGAGTTGACAGTTAACGATCTTTCAAATGTAAAAAAAGCTGACATTTGACATTTTTATTAGCGTGATTTTTATTTCGACAGGAAAAAGCTCTAGTTATGTCGCAGAATGAACTTTAGTAGAAAATAGTTTTTTTTAATTTTAAATTTTAATTTTTGGGAAGATGGTCACATAAAATAGGTTATTTTATTTTAGAAAATGGCTTTTTTTTATTTAGGGCCTTAAATAAAGTTGGTCCGTACTGAGCAATGCAGTTATGGAATTCGTGTGCTCTGAGCTTTTTTTTTTTTATAAAAAGTTTAAAACAAAATACACCTAATAAACAAAACAATAATTTTTAGTTGAAAGTTAACTGAACGAAAAACAACACGCGACCACGTGTGCACACACATACATACGTACATTTGTATATACCGTTGACTTTTTTAAATGTTTACACTTTTACAAATTTACAAACAAAAAAGAAAACAAGGTAAACAACAAATATTAAAAGTTCTGGCAGGCTAACAGCATTTTGGTTTAAATTTGAATAAAATAATTAAATTAAATTAAATAAATAGCATGCCAATGAAAGCGAGCGAGTAAAAAGCTATAAATGTTTTTGGTGTTACAACAACAGCAAGTTATATAAATACCAACATATACATGCGTATATTATTAAAATTAAAGAAGTAAAAATAAAATGAAATTTAAAGACGTCTGCTGAACCGTGAACAACCAACCGTATACACCAAGCGATGCGAGAACGAATTTTCAATACATAAAATATGCTGCTTTAGTTGTGTGTCTACAGATTTGTTTTTGGTTTTGTATGGGTGCGACAATTAACTCGCAGAAATATTAAAAATAAAAAATTAAATTAATAATAATTTATTAAATACAAAAAAAAAATAAAAATGCAAACAATGAAAGCGTGGCAATCTAAGATAAATACACAGACTTATTCCGATGTAATAGGCATATAGGAACTCAGATATAGTATATAAATACATCTATATACAATACATAGAACATATGGTACATAGCAAGCGTAAAGGCAAAGTGCATAATTATATACATACATACATACATAGCTACAAATTAATCTCTATAAATATATATGCATACATAGTATATACAAACATAAACTAGACTTTTTTGAATTTTCTAAAATTTAACTTATTCTTATATACACAACAGACTAACGGTGCGCTGCATACGAGCTGCATAGTGACCGAAATAGATACATAGAGAAGTGAGACAGTTGCGCACGAATGCCTCAAATGACTCTACTAACCAACTAACTACATGCAAATACACAGTAAAAAGTAAAATAAAAAAATTAAAATAGTTTTACAAATTTATTTTATATGAACTTGTGAATTTTTGACAACTTTATTGCTTCTTCTACATACATACTAACAAACTATATAAGTAATAGTATATAATATATTTAACAAATACAAAAACAAACAAAGTAAATAATATATATAACTCGTCTAACCAAAGCAACTTTTGTATTTACATACTCCACTCTCCCTTTTGACAACATTTCACTACATTTATACATACATACATATTTGTACTTGCCACTTTTTAATGTACATACATACACATATACATATATAAATATAATTTCTGAGCAGACATTTTTGTTTTTTTTTACTTGAAAGCTAAAACCAACAGTTTTCTACCAACTCTCTCTTAGGCATAGCCGCAAGTCACATGTGAAATGAAGAGAAACGCAAATAATAGTGAAAATAACAAATTTAAATCCGAAATTACCAACAGTATTCGCTAAAGGGCGCCGTCGCAAGTCGAGTGCCCGAATGCAAACAGACGACAATTACAGTTTAACGGTTGATAACAGTATTTAAAAGCTACAAAAATTATATAAAATGTAAAATGAAATAAATGTACGAAATTTATAGGTTTTTATGCAACAAAAAAAAGTTAAATAACATTAGTTTCACAACACCTTCATACCAACTAACGAAAGCCCTAAATGACAGCAGTCTTTATAAAAATTGTAAAAAAAAATAAACTAAATTAATAAAAACGCATATATCCACTCATCTTGCTGAAATCCGCATTATTTACAAAAATTTCTAGGCGCCACTTACCCACATAAATACATACAAACAAACATGCGAACTCATTGAATTCCCACTCAGCATTCTCTTCGGCATGCATACGAGTACCGTACATTAGCATAGCATAGCATAGCATAAAGTACTTCAACTGAAAAGCAACAACAAGAACCTTACCTTAACCGAACCGCATTCCGCAACTTATATTACAATCCAACTAAAATCTAAAATCTAAAATTAATATATAATAAAAAATTACAAATACTTATATATACATACCATATACTATACAATATACAAGCATACATATGTATATTCGACTATAGTATATATACATATACAATACACGACTATACAATATACAAGCATTTGTTGGCGAAAGAAGTTGAGCAAAACAAAAAAACCAAAAAAGAAAAGAAACTACAAATCCGAAATCGAATAAAAAAAGTTATGCTTATATTATATATAGACTACGTACTATGTATAGCCTGCTACTGGGGTACTAAGCTAATGGACGAGGGATATTTTGAGTGGTTTATTCGAGAAATGGGAATAACATAGAAATCGCTTGACTGAGCGACAGCGCAGGTGGGCGTGTCGATGGTAACAGAATAGGCTCTCTAGCATCTGGCGAATATGCGAAACGAAAATTTCAAGAATTTATCTTTATAATTAGAAGATACGAGTATACATACATACATACCTACATAAGCGACGAAAAATAGCAAACAAAGAAAATGAAAATAAAATACACACATACATACTTACATACACATTGTACACGTGAGACATGGACGTCAGTTGAATATGAATAAAGTCTGATATACATACATACATGTACTATGTAAATGTACTACCTAAATACATATACATATACATGCAAACAGAGACATTTTGCAAAAACAAAAGTCGAACAAAACGAATAGTGTGTATTAGGATAATACAATGAAATCCATAGATATAACTGTAGTTAAGTTTCAAGTTTAACGCAACACACTTGCTGAGGAGAGTTTTAGCAACAGAAAAATTTTTCTTTGAAAATTATAGCTTTGATTGTTTTTTGTAAAAATTTTAAAATATCTTTTCACAAAGCTACGAGCCAAAACATACATACACATTTCAGTTACTTGTTTTGTGGGCTCTTTTCACGAATGCCGACAAAATTGGAATGATAAGTTCAGCCACTTCATCGAACAATTTTTTGTGTAAATACCATCTTTCAGACTTCATATTATTTTTCGTCGTTTTCTTGCAATTTATACAGAGATCTTAGCTCTATTTGTCTAAAGCATAAACTACTTCTACTTTGTTTGCTTAGAAAAAGGCAAAAACTCTGGAAAGCTTCACAAAAGCACATGAAAGCGTGACGAAAACTCTGAAAATTTGTATGACAACTTTAAAAGTTTGTCTTTTCATGAAAACGTTCTCAAAAGCTCGCGAAAGCGTGACGAAAGCTTTGTAGCAGCTCTTCAAAATTTTAAACTCAGGGCCGATGCCAGTACATGAAAGCTTGCCGAAAGCTACTAAAATCTTTTACAAGCTTTTAACTGTTTTTAGTTCAAGAATGCGTGGCGAAAGCTCTTAAAATCTCTTGGTAAAATCAACAATTGAAAATTTTTTATTCCATTTGATTTATGATTAAAAAAATTTTTTTATTACTTATCTTTTGTGCTCACTTACAAATTAAATTGTTTAAACTTCAAGAGTTAGGGAAATTACAATCTAAGCCTAGAGAGATTTTCTTCAAAGCTTCGATTAATACTTAATAATTAATCTAGTCTAATTACAATATATAGTATATCCAGTGTAAAATCAGACAAAATATTAGCTTACGATTATGAAACTTGTAAATACTAACCAAAGTGTTAAGATAGTTATTGGTGTTTTTCTTTTATAATACATGCATATACATAAATATGCAGTAATAAATAAGCTTAGTGTACAATTTAAATTCATAGTGTGTATAATTAAATCTGTATGTATGTCACCATGCTTTAGTCAGCACGCCGTTATGCGTAATAGGGGTTTTTTATGATAATTTTTAGATAAAAAATGTATTATAAATATATTATAGTCCTATAATTACCAAATACATCCACACATACATACATACATGCGTACTTAGCGGTAATGTTTTGGCCTTTCAGAAATTTACTTTGCATTGTTAGTGCATTTATAAGTCCTAGATAAATATATATACATACAGACATGTAGATACTAATTTTATGTATGTAAAATGAAAAGCGTAAATATGTATTGTAGTTAAAAATATTTAGCCGAAGAATATTATTGAAAACACAAAAATAATTAAAAATTTAAAAATCCCATATAATTGAAACCAATTTCGAAGCAATATTGATTAAAGCCCAGAGAAGTTAAATGTTTTAATTAAAAAAAAAAAAAAAAATCACAAATAAACACGCAATTGGTTTCAGGGGAACAACAACAAATTTTAATTTTTTTTAACTCAATTCAGCCACAACTCATCTCATTATTGGACCTGCATTACGATGTAATGAACAAACGATATCATTATTGGGACACATTAACTTTATTATTGCCGATAATAGTACAACTTCCTATAGAAAGATTTTGAAACAAAACACCAAACTTAAAAAAACGAAGTATGAATTTGCCATAAAGTAAAAATTATAATAAAAAAACCAAATAAAAAATTACATAAATAAATAAATAAAAGAAATAAGTAAAAAAAAGATATAAAGAAAATACATAAAATAAAAAAAATAAAAAATATCAAATTGAATTGAATTGAATCAAGTAATTACCTACCTAAACCAAAACTAAAACCAAAAAGTTTGCAAGACGCCTAGCGCACGAACGTAGCATCAATTATATTAAATTCCTAGTCATACATACATACATATTTATTGATTTTAACCAGAGCATAAATTCATATACACCAAATAATAAGTAACTTGCATAGACACATACATACATACATACATACTTATATAGTTTATGTTGATTGTTAACTATTGTGAGTGAATTAAATGCGTTTTTAAATGTTATTCAGCCCATTACAAGTACATATAATATATACATAAGTAAATGCATAGAATAGCAAAATTAATAAATTAATGCATATATGTGTAATTAGAAAAGTGTAGTAGATATGCGCCGAAAGTGTAAAAATTTTAAGTTAAACGATAGTAAGTGGTTCAATAGTGTTAGGTATTTTAATTAGGCATTTTGTACATACATACATACAAACACATATACATATATACAACTATTTAGGCAGAAGTGCGTGCACATTTTATATATTAAAATTATATATTTTTTAATTATTTATATATATAAAAACAATTTAGTTCTTGGCTCAATTATTGTATAATTTCATTCGTTTTTATTGAAAATCATTAAAAAAATTATAATTTAGTATTTTATATTGAAAAATTAAAATAAAAATATACTTTTTTTATTGAACTGGCGAATCAAAGACATCTTTCGTAAATATGTTTTCATTCTTAAATTGTTAGTATGACTTAATTATATTTATTAAATATTTCTCCAAATCACTTAATATATTTCATCTATAAATATATTATTATACCTATTTGCATTACTTGTAATTTTTTTTCTAAGTTGTTTCAGATATGTATATTTTGGTATAAATTTATATACTTATTTAAAATTCTGTGCTCTCAATCACCAATTGTTAAGAAGTGATTCAAAACGATCATTATAAAAATGGTGAACAAGGAAACCCAAAAGCTTTAAAGTTTAGTTTGAGCCGATTGTTTCGTTTTGTTCTGAAAATTTAATTTTACATTTATTATATTACTATTGGATATCAATAGCTATGACGATATTGGTGTATATTCACGTTTAGAAATTCTTCCTTTTCAAAAATGTTCGATATAAAAAAGTATATTAAATAGTGCATAAACTGAACTTGTTGACATTTTTATATATCATTGATAGTTTTTGTTTTATAATTGTTATTTTTCTTTATCGACACAAAATTTTATTTCTAGCTGTGAGCAATTCCAACAAAAAGCCTTCTAGTCTAAGTAAAAGTGAATACTCTTCAATTGCTCCATTAAGAATGATTAAACAATTGTTTTCGTTTTCATCAAGTGTCGTGCCACTTCGATGCAGTTCGTGCAAACTAAAACGACCTTGCCAGTACTATATTGTACGTTTCATACTCAGCAAGTCACAGCTACCGTAAGTCGAATACATGCAAAGAATTAGCGCGGAAACAAATATAGGTATACACACCGTGCAACTCATAAGACCTTTGCGTAAGATAAACGATCACACGTATACAAGGGTTTCGATTAGAACTGTCAATTGGGTTTTAAGCAACTACTAGAAACTATAGCCGAAAACACCGGTTGCGTTATTGGGTAACTAATCGGTTATTTGATAGTTCGGTGGCTTGCAGGTTAGCTTTTAAGCAAAAGATCATATATCGGATTGCATAAGAGAAAACTATCATGCAAATACGAGATGTTTCTTTTAATAAATCTACCCTCAATAAAATGAAAACCAGCAGTAGTCGTCTTTTTGAAATGGCGCTAATTATTGTATTTATTTGGAATTATTGATTTAGATTAAGTTAAAACACTCCAAATAGAGCGCAGTAACGTACTCTACAACAAATATCAAAAATTCTTTTATGCAAAGACAAGTATTGTTTAAAGTGGGTAAATTTCTAGCAAGTTTCCTATACATTTTATTTTTCCAGAGAATTCTCCTCTTTTTTGAAATTTTGAATGAAGACACTAATAAGCATATTTCTAAATCAATAATTCCAAATAAATACAATAATTAAAGTAAAAAACAAATGAATAAAATTGGAAAACTATTTTTCACAGTAAAAATCTTCTAAAAGAATTTCGAAAACACATTGAATACACAGTGAGACTTTTAAATAATGTTTTTTTGATAACTGGTTAACAGAAAGACTCCCCCTTCACTCATGAAATAACGAATGCTTCAAGGGCTGTTTATTCACCAATTATTGCCTGTTCTAGCTAAAGTTTCATATTTGAAGTTGAAGTTTCGCGTAATTTACTGGATTTATTAAAAAATTATATTAATTAATTTAAACAAAATTTTCTTTAAAAACATTTTTTTTTATTAATATGGCTTAAAAATTAAGTTCGTCTTATTAGTGAAAACAGTTTTCCTTTAATTTAAGTCAATGCGAAGAAACTTAAAAAATTCGAAGCAACGCTACAGTGTGAGCACAACTGTATATTTATTCACGAAAATAATCTTACACATATGCACACACACACATACATTTACATTTATTGTTAAACTATACAAATTACTGAAAGTGCTGTTAAACATATTTTTAATAACAGTTATTTGCCGTTTTTTCACCATTATTGCTAATACATACAGACATACTCAATTTAATTTTTCTTTTTCGAAATTGATAACAGTAAAGATGCAAATACGGATCGAATCCAAAAGAGTTAAATTAATACAAGTATTCAATTAGCCGAATGTTGCATATGTAAATATTCTGAAAGAAGTACTGTGTAGCAAATGAATTACTTTTAGCTGAATATGATGTGCATTGAATTTCTAAAATAACTTAAATATGTATAAGAAGTGAAGATGATAAGTTCACTAAACCAAATGATAGCTGGGGAGATATTAAATTGAAAGCAACAAGAAAATTTAAGAAAAATTAAAATAAAATAAAAACTTATTGCAAAGAAAAACAGGCATATGTATATAAATACTTGTATTTATACATATGTATAATATGTGTGCATTTAAGAGATATATGTTACATTAAACAAACACATACATACCAAGGATCTCCCAAATATTATAGTTGAATTGTTTTAATTAGGACGCAATTGAATAGAATACAGTAAACAAATCGCGAAAGAGGCGAACTTACGACGCTTGCATAGTTAAATGAATATTAATATTAATGATAGTTAAATGGCGTTGTGTTTGCGCGGCGCTGGTTAATTTAGCATACAGCAAGGCGTTGCACGCGGCGATTGGTGGTGGTGGTGACGGCAGTGCACCAAATACAGCTACAAAGGTGGAGACGGGTGGGCTTGTAGACCGTTTGCTGGCGAAATGTTGCGTTTTGGGGGGCGAATAAGCAAAGAGGCGTGGTATTGTGAGTGTTTTTTGGCTTCTCGAAATATATTGGCGAAACATAAGAAATGACAATTCTTGTTTCTAATTTATTTTGACAAAAAAATTTTGTGCTACAAAACCAAAAAGAGCTCATATACAAATGCTTGCGTTTGAGTGTTGTTCTGAGCTTTGCTTCATAATATAATTACTACATATATATATTATTGAATATCACTGTGTCATATCGTACATTTATGAATAGTAATGCATAATATGGTATATAAATAAATGAAATTGATTATAGTTATTTAAAATCATCTTATCAATATTATTGACGTAATTAAATAGATGAATATATGAAAATAAAAGCAAAACAAAAGTAAATAAAATATGAATTCCAAACGAAATTGAAACTTGCAAAACATATTGTATTACAACAACTATTTAGAACTAAAAAGTGGCAAAAAATAAGCAAAAATAAAAGCAACACACAAATATCGTACATATACATACATAAAATATGTAGCGAAACGAAAATAAGCAAAAAAAAAAGTACGAAATTATCAATAATTGCATCAGTATGCACAAATTCAGCATGTGGAAGGCAACTGAATGTTGCGACATTGTTGTGTGTGAGAGAAAGAGAGAGAGAGAGAGAGAGATAGAAAGAGAGCGATGCGGAGAAAAGTTTGCAATAACGAAATACTGAATTAAATAAAACGCTAAACAAAATTTTGAACAAAACATAATATACTTGCTTATATCTATCTTAACACATCCCAGTTAAACATTAAACAAACGCAACAGAAATTGAGAAGAAAAAAAGAAAACAATGATTAATCGCACGTGAAAGTAAAATGCAAAATTGAAATATATTTCTAAACACTTTTACCATACATAAATGCTTTGTGTGTCAAGTTTTGTAATCGCAATTTGAATATTACTTTAATGTTGATATTCTATCGTATCGTCCCGTTATAAATATTCGTTGACAGACGCTATGTACTTACATTGCGATGAAATTTTAATGTTTATATTATATTTTGAAGAATACGCAGTAAATTTTTTTAAGAGAATCATTAAATACTTTTCGAGCTACACGCGGTTCTGACAGCACAAAACCAGTGTACTCCACTGCTGCCGTGATTGCGGCCTTCTTCGTGCATGAAACCTAAAAAAAATGTACTGGAAAATACTGTTCGCACATTGACCTACGAAGGAAGAAAAGTAAAAAATTTACAAAATGTTGGTGTTTAAAAAAAAAGTTGAGTTTTATCCAAAATTTTGGTCGTTTTGGTAGGTCATTGTATGAATATGGATATGATAGGTTACGTTAAGTAAAGAGTTTGATCCTAAATGGCATCTCACTTGGATAGCTTAGCCGGTCCGTTGTGTTACCTAAAAACAAAGCTATTTACAAAACATGCCGAAAAAATTATATAGTGATCGGATCGCTTGTCTCCGAGCAAGCACTCAAGCAGATTTGAAAACTGTAGTTTTGAGAAGACCACATTTAGAAATAAAATGGTTAAACTAATCGACTTCACTTTAGAAAGCTGTAACTCAAAATTTATTTGAGATATGGTTTTAAATTTTTAGTATTTTATTTTTAAAGGTTTTACCTAATTTCTGATTTTTCCAAAAAAATATGTTTTGAAAGCAACAAGAAAAAAATTATAGTAAATCATCATAAATTGACTATATTTTTATTAGTGGTTGATTTCAAGGACAATTCCACTGTTGCTTTCCAAATTTTCTATTCAAAACCAAAATTCGAAATATTGCGACCCTAAGGAGGATCCGTCAGAAACAACAACAACTCTTAGTTACCGAAAAACACTCATTAAGCATTGCATTCTCATCTTACTAGGAAGGTTGCTAAATCTGGTGTATATGGACAGTGAGCTAAGTTTTCGTTTTAAAACACTCTGAGAGTAATTTTTATTTTCTATCAGCGTTGCTCTTGAATATGTCATCTTAAAAATTTCCAAAATTCTCTTTTCATTATTTGTCTGGATCAACTCAAAACTTTCTTTTTCAACCCAAAAACAATTATTTCGAGAAAAATTTCTTTACGCGAGAAAGTTACTGTTTAGTTAAGAGCCGTCTTGCCTATATATATATAAACATATTATTATACATATTATATTAATATATTATATCGTTTGAAGGAACTTTTTTCGCTTGAAAAATTTACTCATTTCGTAAGATCTTGGTGTTTTTCGACGATATCGATAGAATATCCATATTTTTTTCAGTAAACTATATAAAAAAAAATAATTTTTTTTCTCAATTTAAAATGTAAAATTAAAACATATTTTTTTAGGAAAAGTGCAAATGTTCTTTAAAAAGTCATCATACAATAATCAACATAAACCAACAGTTCTTTGTATTTTAAGTATCTAAGTAAGTAGTAATGAGTTTCCTATTTCACCTAAGTTACTAAGCGTAAATGAACGAATAGAGTGACGAGCATACGAAGTGTCACATCATAATATAATATTATAATTTATATGTATCATTATAAATATTGTTGTATTGTATGATATTGCGTAAATTATTGAAAGCATATACATATATTATAAGCTATACATTACTTACATATAATTAAATCGTAGATGAATATGAATAGATTAACTTTAGCTGATTGGACATATAGAAAAATTCAAAGAAGAAGCGAATAGAATGCAATTATAGTATTTACATATGTATATTGCATGAATTGTGTATGTATTGAATGTGCCTAGATTATAATACAATTATTAGACGCTTCGAAGGTATTATCATTTACGATTCAAACTTGCTTTGTACACACACACACATACATACAGACAGAGAATGTGTGTTGGTATGCTTTCAGATGAGTGAAATGCCTTATTTTCTCTATGTGTCGGTCGATATGTGAGTTTATTCTTATGAATTGCATTTCAAAACGTAGAATTTTAAAAATGTCGCAAGTCAAAGTCGAGAGTTTTTAAAAACATGCGCTATAATATTTAAGCTTTTACTTTAATTCAACTCATTGGATTTCAAATAACTGTAAGCCCGATTAATCTCACAAATATAACAAGAAAATCAGTAAATAATAAGTTTCATCAAAAGCAAACACAAACCCAAAAGTAATGGTCAAGAGGCAGTAGCAACTTACTTGTATAAATCATATAAATCCGAATCATGTAGTGGTTTGCTGAGCGTATTAGTCTCAGCATAAACAAGCCATAATATTGTTAAAAACGTTTTAAATTACTATTTATCACTATTTTAAGTTTTTAATTTCTCAACCTAACCGCACAATTGAGCAACAAGATTCAGGAGTAACGCTAGAAACAATCCCGTTCAAAGTAAATAAAAGTTATTTAAAAGTAAAAAAATAAAATAAAAATAAAGCAAGACTGAATATTTTATGAAGATCGGTTTTGAAGCATTTTGAATCCAGTTATTTGTACTAAGTTCTGTTTGAAAACTCAACAATTTCGTCCTGTTGCTGAATTAGATATTTAGTTCTTGTGAGTTTATTGAATTACTAACTGATCTCGTATAAATCTACTTTTTTAACTGTGAATAATATAAAACAATATAATAAAATAGCTAAAAAGTTTCAAAGTACTTCTGTTTAATGGTCTCTTTTATCCGCATGATGTGATTTCCAAATAAACTTTGGCTGCGAGAACGAGAGAGAAAGAGAAAATAAATATGTAAAAGTTTTTAGTAATGGTGTCGGATTTGTTCAAACATTTTCGCCTCTTCTAACTTGGGAAAATACATTTCATAACGATTACACAGTCAAAAATTGTCGAATTGCTTCCTAGCACTGCAGTAAATAAATATTAATAATTGACTGTAATGATTACCTATAATTTTCTTAATTTTTTAACTACATTGAAAGGAGCAATGACCGATCACATTTAATTTTTAAAAACTATTAGAAAAAAAGTTATTAATAATCTGAAGTAATCTAAAGTACCTTAGAAAAAATTTCAGTACGATTACAAAATCGATTATTTCATGTAATTATATTCATTACTCATTACCAAAGATTTGCATTCTAACGTTTTTAATAATCGATTGAAAAGTGTTGAATGAAAAGTTTGTTGTTGCTTTCGAGCAGAACTGTAATACTGATAATTAATCTAATAATTATCTATGATTTTACATTTTTAACTGCATTCTTTGGACCAATATCCGATTACTATTTTTTTTAATCATTAGAAAAAAAAAAAATTATTAAAAGTAAGCTAAAATAATTTTGAAGAGGGATATAGTCTGTATCCATTCGTATTGAAATTTGGTTTATAAATAAAAATAATTTATTTAAACGAAAATAATTGCAAACTAATTTTTTTGCATTTTGATTGTACTTAAATAAATTATTTGATTACTTTTTAATCGTTTTTGATTTTATGTAAGTATATTGACTGGTGATTCCTAGATAATGAAATGTATTGATTTAAACATTGTAATTTTCAAAATCAAGTAATTGTGTAGATAAATTACAGTTAAATAAAAGTTTAATTAAAACTTGAAAATGTAATTCAATATATAATATAATTATAAAGTTGTCGAAAAATAGCAAAAATATATATTTATTATTTAAAATATGTGAAATAATTTGCCCATTAATCTAGGTTTAGTTTGATTATTTCTGTTAATAATACTTAATCCTGATTATTTTCAGATTATCAATTTCACGTTTATGAAAGGAATTGAATTTATTATAGTAATCGCCGAATTTAAGTAATTATAATAAAAGTGCCGTAATTACTAAACGTAAACTTATTTTAACAGCTCTTCTTGAGTGAAGACTATCATCTTATCTGTTTCTTAAATTCATTGTTACCAAAATCTTATTGAATTTTCTACTTCTCTGACATATTAAACAAATTCAGAATAATTAAAGAGTAATCGATTGCAATGTTGCAGCCATATTAAATTAATCAATTTCTTACGTTTCTTCAGAGAAGACCCTTACATTAACCACATTTAAAATTGATCACTTAACTCTCTAAAACATATTAATCCTACAAACGAATTTAAAACATTTCCAAGCATTTCAACTTTGATTGAAAAATAACGAAGCATAAAGCAAGAAGAATTGGCATCACAAAATATGTAAAGCAACCAATAGCGAACGGTTTAGTGGAGCGAATATTCATGTTATTAATACATTCATGTTTGAATAAAAGCAAATTATGTTTATATCAAATATAGCAATTACTTGATTTGTGTCCCACCAACAACAAAAGTGTGTTAGTTTTTAACTTAGAGAAAATGTGAGTAGTTAAATAATCAGTAATGAATTATTCGGTTCAAGTTTATGTCACAGCTGAAACACGCGAAGAGAAGCAAAAGAAAACCCCCAACAACATACTCGTACAAAAGCGAAGCATTGTAGTTAAATAAGTAATGAACGAATAGAACGAGCCATTATTGGTAATGCATTTCGACACCGAAACTAAATAGCAAAAATTAATAGCAATAAATTATTCTATCGAACAAATATGCGAAAACAGTAGAGTTAAATGAAGAAAAACAACAACAATAACAACAACAAAAAATAACAAAAATTATAATAACGGTATGCATAATGTTTCCGGGTAAACGGTCTAACAGAACAGCCAATCAATTAGCGAAAGGGAAGAGAGGAAAAGGGTGAAAAGTAACGAGGAGAATTAAATGTTAGAGTACAGTTAACAACATCTAGCGCAGGTCCGAGAGCAAAGCGGGGAATAAACATATAAAGAAATACTTACTCTGGTCTACCACTGCCACTAATTGAAGAATTGATGATTAAGCAGTTGTATTGTAGTGTAAAAATATAAAGTAAAAACCAAAAGAAAAAATATTAAAGTAATAAATTAAAGTATAAATTTACTGAAAAATATACCCGAAACATATTATTGACTAACACAGTGTATGGGAATATTTGTATTGTTTTACTAAGCGAAACTGATTAATTAAATAAAATAAAATAAAGTAAATAGTGAAAAGCAAACCGCACATATGTATACAATCGCAAGAATCGTTTATGCATAATTACAACCAGGCATTCATTCATTAAAGTTTAATTATGAATACATATATAGTACATACACATAATTAATATACATACATACATACATATACTACGTGCGTATAGTAAATTATTAACAAATATCTGATAATAAATAACAAATTGAAAGGTGACAAGCGCAAGTGAAGCACATAAGAAAGAGGAACTATATATATAAAATAAAAATATAGCAAACAAACAAAAAAAAAAAAAAATTAAAGAAAAACAAAAAATTAAAAAAAAATATGTTGAATTCCACAGTGAAAAAGTATGAGTCATAATTAGTAACCACAAAACTAGCATAGCATTAAAATAATAATAAATTATTATTATTAATACTATTATTGAAACAATGAGTTGATTTAATTAATAATTTAAGTAATGTGAAGTTCGTTTTCATTCATAGTCAAAGCAAATGAAATGGCAAATAATTATTAAATAAAACTAATAACTTCAAACCAATACTAATAATAAGCTAATGATACAATTTATAATAACAATCACAACACTAAGGCATACAATTAATGAAAAGAAATGAAATGAAATTAGAAATGAAGAAATAAGACACAACATGCGATGAATACAATTATGATAAAACTATAAATGAAAAATAGTTCTTTGCGTGAGAATAAAACGATGTTACATTATTTAAAGAAAATATATCATAAAAAATATGCCCACCTCTATTATTATTTGTGTGATAAGAAAAAGTGGTAAGTGAATACATATAAATAGCAGTGTTCGATTCGCCATACATCTAGTTGCTAGATTTGAGACATGTTTGTTTGTAAAAAAATTACGATTGAAAGCAGCAAAACAGTTATTCAATTGGATTGAATTCATGAAAGAACAAGTCAGTCCATTACATCTTCACCAGTTGGCTGTATTTAAATAGTGCTGGATACGAAAAGACGCATGATTTATGTATGGCACACGAGTTAACGCACGCATTATCGATTCATACCCAAAGCAGATGATCACTTGGTGATGAAAAGTTCGAAAATTGATATGGTCGAACTGCGGTGAGCCGACGCAAAGCCAAGCCAGGTTCGACGGTCAAGTAGGTTTTCTGATGAGTTAAGTTGTATTACAAGGGAAGCAATCGTTTAGAAGCGGCTAGATTTGGCGAAGTGCAGAGTAATTGTACTTCATCAGTACAACGCCAGACCACACATATCGCTAGTGACTCCTCAGAAACTCCGGATGCTTGTTTGGGAGGTCTTTATGCCAGACGTGGAACTAAATGACTACTGCCTGTTCCTGTTTATGGCGATTGATTTTGCGGATGAAAAATTCGCTTCTAGAGAGATTTGTGGAGTTCGACTGTCCCAGTTTTTTTCCAATAGGTAGGAGGGTTGCTATGAGAGGGGTACTATGAAATTACCTATAAATTTTCAACCAGTTATGTAATAGTGTATATTATAGCGAAATTGTATCATTCTAACAACTATAATAAAGCCTTCTTTTACTAGACCTTATGTCAATTATACTTTCGATTCATCATTTTCCAATAGGTTTGCGGATTGTAAAAAATACTTATTTTCTATATTCGGCGTGAAGATAGAGATCTGCATCATTTGGATTTTTTTTAAGCTAAGCGAATCTGTGTAACTATTTTACGAGTTTTTTTAAGGGACTTGCCACATATTAAGGATGAACTCAAAGGTTTGTTTCAAAGCATCAGCTCATCGTTAAAGTCAAATGAGTTTATGGAATTCAAAATGGCGTGACTAATGAAATTTTTAAGCCTGTTATCGGGCATCATCTGCATTTGGCATAGAAAAATCGAATAACATCCTCTCTTAGAAAATACAGAATGTCATTTAAGTTCTGATTTCTTAATTAATTATCTTAAGTAGACCTATTTTTAAAAGAGTCCAGTCCGAATTCGATTAGTATTTATCACGATTATATACATACCAGCGCTTAATCCAGTATAGCCTATAAATGCGAGACCTTATATGAAAAAATTTTATTTTCACGAAATTTCGCATAAATTATTGTGCAAGATAACGCTGTAATCTTCGAACGAATTGTTTAGATCCGACTACTGTAGCATATAGCTGCCATATTAACCGAACGATCGGAATCAAGTGCTTGCATGAAAAACTCTTTCATTTGACGATGTATCTTCACGAAATTAGGCACGAGTTATTGTTTAAGGCAACAATGTATTCTTCGAACAAATTCTTCGGATCTACGCACTGTATCATATAGCTGCCATACAAATTGATCGATCGAAAGCAAATTCTTGTAAGGAGCCATTGAATTTGCGGAGGGTATTATATTGTAGCTTCGGTTCAACCGAAGTTAACGTTTTTTCTTGTTTTTTAGCAGTTGGGTTGAGAATAAACCAGTACTTGAAAAAACAGTGAGCTCATTTATACGATCCAAGGGTTATCACAAAAATTGTATTAGCTTAAAAGTCTCAACGAAAAATGTTAACACAAATACTTACAAAACTCCAAAAGATCCGACATGCACGTTCTCGTATATATGATCACAGGGTGGGTCAAAAAAAGCAAATGTTTTTTTAAACGTCGTACTCTAAAAAAATGTTTGATAGACAACTCTAAGAAAGGCTCTCCAAATATAAACTCTTAATTGTAACGGAAAAGTCCTACGGCTAACGGTTTTCTATTTCTCTTATTATCTGATAGAAAAATTCATTTCTCTCTGCCAACCACTTGAAAACATATGTCGTATCATAGATTTTGTAGGAAATTGCTTGCTCTACAAAATGGTCTGTTACGGTTTTTTCTTAAACCTAACCCTTTAAAAGATAATAATCGTTAAAATTTAACTATTTCAAGCCAAATCTATATTTTTTTTTTGTAATTTTATAACTCAATGAAAAAACATCATTTAAAATCGCAAAGCTCACTGGCTTGTCGAAAATTTACTGCTCTACAAAAATGTTTTTTTTTGTGTTTTTTTCTTTTGAGTTTTTTTTTGTGTGTTTTCTTTTGATAGATGAATATCTCGTAAAGCTTAAGCTTAACTTAATTCAAAAAATTATTCAGACCATTTTTGTAAACAAAACATTTGTTTTTTTTTACCCACCCTAATAAACACGCACTATATATTCCATCAAAGAAGAAACGAACATTTTAATATTTTTCAACACATTTTATGTTTATTTTTAAGAATGGTTCCATTTAAAAATACAAGAAGATTTTGCATGAAATTGAAATAAAGTCTAAAAAAACATAAACATTAAAGTAAAGTTCTATGTATGTATTAATGTAAAACATTTGTTACTATTATAAAGTGCAATGACAATGAATTCATTATATATAATAAAATATTTGCTTCGTAAACGCTTGAAATAAACATCGTTTGCTTTAAAATTTTAAAATTCAAATTGAAAACACTTTAAAAAAACATTTACTATTATTTACGAAGCATACATTCACATGTATATATTGTATGAGTAAAAAAAATCGTATCGAAAAAACACACACATCGATCATTAGAGGAGAAGCAACTAACAAAATATTTTTCGTACTCTTCATACTTTTCATATTATTCACAATTTCCTCACAATTGGATTACTTTTTCACATAACTTTTGGCAATTTCATGCATATTTATCCATTTGCTTATATTTTTCTTTCTTCTTTAGTTTTCGCCTAACTCTACACGTTCTTCTTCGTTTATATTTACTGTTTCGTCTGCAATAATTCTTCATGCTTTCAATTATGCAACTGCCATTTCAACAAAATTTCTTTACGTTCGATAATTTTTATTTGCTTATAAGCATTTTGTATTTTTTGTTTTTGTATTTTATTAAATATTTAATTAAATGTACGCCTTACAAGGGTAGGTATTAAACTAGACAAAAGATACATTACATTTAAACTTAACAAATACTACGCTGCTTTGTTTTTGTTATGTATACATATACGCACATCCATACATATAGATATATATATATCTATGTTTTATACTAAATATATGTATATGCATATACATATATATACTTGTATATATTTATACATATAAATTTTAATATTAATATTTAAATTATAAATAACCGTTAAAATGTTTTTTGCGCAAATTGCTTCTGTAAAGAGAGCGAGATCGCGTTAGAGAAAGAGAGGAGTAAATTTTTAAATCATCGCTTTTTGTTGGCAATATTTTGAGAAAAATCTTTCAACAGTCAATTTTTAACAAAAAGCGTTTCGCCGCTTCTCTCTCCAGCTACACATACATTTTGCGCATTATTTCTCACAGACTGCTCTTAAAACATATAACTTAAAGGTAGCTAACCAACATAATAGTATTGCGTGAGAGTAAAACATCGCTGCTAACTAGTTATTTATATATTTTAATAATATTAATAATAATAGTAATAATAATTAGTAATAGTTGTAAAAAATAAATGGTTAAACATCAGCATGTGTGTGCGTGTGTTTTGAGCTATAAAGTACCGTTTTATTTGCAAACATTGCCGTTGTGTTCCTTCATGCACACAAATTAGGAGCTTAAATCGTAGGAAATGGCATGTGGCATGAACCAATAACGTGTATTAACATATAGAGAAGTGTTTGAATTAGCATAGATTTTTTTCTAAAGTCCTAATTTTCAATATTTAACATTTCGCATTGCCTGCCTGCTGTCTTTTACTCCTGCACTTTACACATTTTTTCTGTATTTTTTTTCCTTTTGCATTTTGTCAATTTTATTTTAGTGCAATAATTAAATATTACAAATAATTAATAATTAATTATTTAAAAATGTAACATAATAACAAATATATGTATCTTCATGATATCAATTCATGCATATTCTACCATATGTAAACTACACATACATATTTCCATTTTTCAACTATTTTTTCATTAAAAACATTTGCTCGCTGACAACTCGGAATGACGCGCTTATGCTTTTGCTATCGTTTTACTATTTGTTTGCTTTTTTATATTTTACTTTTATTTTTGTTTTTTTTTTTTGCTTTCGAAACGAAATTAATTTTAACGCTTTTTTGGCTGCTTTATCCACTTTACTTTCTTCTAAATAATGCGCTCGTGGCCTCTTCACTTTTTGCATTCTCTCTTCGCATTTCTTTACTCTCGCATTTGCCTCTTTCATTTACTTATTTTATGCTTTGATTTTTTTTATTTCAATAACTGTAATGTAAGCAAAGAGGATTTAAATAAATACATTTATTTTCTTTTTGCTTTTTGTTTTTGTTTTCGTATAACCTCCAATACGACTTCTCGCTTCTGTGTAAATCCAAAATTGGGCTTTAATTTAAATATGAAAATGTATATTTTTTAACTTTTGTTTTATTTATTTTTATTTAATTGTTGTTGGGATCTAATGATATTATTTTTCTTGTTGTTTGTATATATGTATATTTGACTTGCTTACTGATTGCTGCTTACTTCGTATGCCTCGTTTTTTAGCTTTGATAAACATTGATTTTGTTATATATTTTTTATTTTTGGTATTTTATGTACATACAATACACACATATATGGTTCAATTTGTTGGTTTTAATTTACTGAAGTAATAAATCTGTAAGAAATATGATACATATGCATATTTACGGTATTTTTAATATCATTTCTTTATTATTTTTATTTTCAATTAATTAATTAAAATTGTTATGTTCAAGTCTGTACCGTTATTTTAACTATTTTGCTTGCTGACAATGTAAGTGTTGTTTC